TAGTTTATAAGTTAAATATTTAGTTTATAAACTATGACATTTATAAATGTATGAATCATATGGTGAAAAACTGACTTTGAAAAATAAATCTGTTCTTTTTTTCTTAAAAAGCCTAAATAAAACAAAAATATCAGTGGTAATTTTTGACTGTGTAACTTTACAAACGGCACCCGTAACTTTGACTCCTGATGTTCTGGAACTCAAACTGAACTCAAGTCCATCAGAGACCCAATGAGTCCACTACGGTCCACCTGCAGGTTCAGATCAGTATCTGGTCCTCATCAAGAGATCCAGTTTCCTCAAAGACCGAAAACCAAAGACAAAGAACAGGTCCAGATTCTTTCTTTAAGCTCTAATCTGAGACCAGCTCTGAGTTTGACTCAGATCTGATGGTTTGAACAAACGGTGGAAACGTGAGGAGCTGAGCTCAGGTTTCCTGCAGGAACTGAGGAAAAAATAACAGGAAGTCAGAGGGTCCTGGGGGGCCGGGGGTCCATTGTTCTCATCGTCATGAGTAACAAGTTAATTATGACTCTTTCTTTTTCAACCCAGAGTCTTTTACACCAGTTCACCAAACCTCTGAACTAAACCTGAGAACAACCAGGAAGCTGATGAGTTTATGTTCCTCACCTGTTCTATGTTCACCTGTTCTACGCTCACCTGTTCTAGTCTCACCTGTTTTTTATTTTACAGGAAATAATCCGCAGGTGCAGCAGATTAAGAACCTGCATGATGTAATTTACGACTCCTGACAGGTGTGTGGTTTTATTTTATTACAGACAACAGGAGTTTACGGTCATGTTAGCATCAGATAACCAGGATTTAGATTTTAAATATTCAGCAGCAGCGAGCCAACGACCATTTTAGTTGTTTGTCTCAGGATGATGACATCATCCTGGTTATCTGATGCTGACTTCTGCTAACACTGCTAAAGATAATATTTTGAATCTAAATTCAAAATGTGTTGACAAAAACAGTCTGGGTGGTCCCTGTGCTCCAGCAGTTTGAAGTGCAGCTCAGACACAACTGCAGGTTTGATGTCTTGTAGGCAGTGGTGGGCACAGTTCCCCTAAAGCACTAATAGGGGAACTAATTTCCTGATTAGTGCTTTAGGGCTTTTGATCGTTTTAAAATTTATTAGTGGATTRGCACTTGCTAAATTTATAGGCTAAATTTAGAAGCACTGAGGTTTATAAATATTATTGATCAACATTAATGTTAACAGCTGAGGGTGACAACAAATTTCATTGTGGATTTGTTGTCGGGCGACTTCTGATGATTTTAATTTAATGATTGAGCTTTAAGTTTTAATTTGCTGACACTGAGTGAAGACACTTGTCTTAACCTAATACTGCAAATAAAACAAGACTGAACGTCTTAACGTGATGTCACTGACATGAGTCTGTCCATGGTCAGAGATAGACTTCATTTGAATAGTTCACACTTTTCTTGTCACTCTTCCATCAGACACATTTTATAAAGCTCATGGAGAGAAAATATGAAGACTTTAAGGATATAGCACACATTTGTGTACATTCATTTTTTTTACTGAAGATATTTGACAAATATTTCTTATTTATGCATTACAATTAATATTATAACCTGTTTTTTGTGATTTACCATGTCAGTCCAAATTTTCTAYTTTGGAATAAAGAGGTCAAAATTAATTTACTTAAAGTCATGCCAGCTGGCTCCACTGAGCCTCCTTGAGTAAATTGAGCAAAGAATAAACATATATTGATCAATTTATTCATCCTGACTTAGTGGAACCAGTTTGGTTCAGTAAATTCAACAGTTTATTTCTTAGAGTGTGTAAAAGTACTTTTACGTTCCCAATTTTTGTTAACAGTTTGACTTTTACTTGAGTAGTTTTCTCATCAGTGAAATTTGTTTTTACCAAAGTCCTTTTCTGTTCATGTAAATTTACTTTTAGTTTTTTTTTTTTTTCAAGTTCTTGATAGAGCTCTGTTTATTTCTGAGGACAACAGACGGACAGTAGAGCTCCAAAGCTTTAATACAATCCTGGAGAGAGACAGGAAGTGAACAAACTGATGACAATCATTAATAATAATAATAATAATGATGATAATAATAATAATATTTAAACATTTTATATCAGTCAGTTTTGTGTGTCTGAAGGTTTGTCTCTTTAACAGGTTCCACACATTCACCACCTGCTGCCATGACAGAGGGGCGAGCAGGTAAGTGTCTTAAAACATCCCATTTATTCCAAACTGGTTTTAACAAAACTTTACTTTCCATGTAAACATGATTGAAGAGGACAGAAATGAAGCTGAACTGGTGGTAGTAGCTGAGAGTCAWATATAACGATATGAAATGATTGCAACACACAAAAAAAAAACGAAACACTAGACTCCTCCTCCTGTGAACCTTTCACAATAAGAGCTTGACATATTAAACTTGTAAACGGTGTCTGAGCAGCAGAGACGTTCAGGTCCTGCTGCTGACAGGAAGTAGTTAAAACGCTTGTTGGTGTTTTCACGGCGCCTCAGGCAGCTGGAGGGAAGACGAGGAGCGTTCAGGCGGCGCTGGAGACKGCCAGCTTCTTCAGGTGATCCATGAACACCTGAAGGCTGACGTCATCTGTGAGGATGGGCGCTCCTGACTCCTGCAGGGAGGAAACACGTCAGATAACCTAACCCTCCTCCGTTAGAAGCTGCTGAGGTCAAAGGTGGCGCTCTTACCTGTCCCCAGGCGTACATGTTGTTGTGGGTCTGGGAGGGRTTGACTTTGGAGAGCAGGAAGCGAGCCTGAAAACATCAGGACAGGAGGTGAGCCTGGAGCGTGGGGGGCTTTAGGATGTGAACAGGAAGTGTGTGTGTGTGTCTCACCTGGCTGCCGCCGTGCTCCGTGTCGATGTACCTGGGCATGGGGAAGCGGGTGTGCAGCAGCTCCTGGGCGTCGTCCACCGGCGCCTGCAGCAGGTGTTTGAAGTTCTCRTACTCGGGCATGTCCTGGTACCTGGCCTTCTTCCACTGAGCTACAGTCTGAGGGAGACACGGGTCAGAGTTAGGCATGTCTGATAATATCAGCCTGCAGATATTAGCATAAAAATGTAAAATCTCTACGTATCGGTTTTTCATTCTGATAACAACAACCAGATAAATTAACGCCTGGATTTGACCAAAATGTGTTACTAAATGCTCGTGGTCCAGAGACGTTCACCGGTGAGTGATTGATGACATCATCAAACTGGGTTATCTCAGGGAGAGCATGATCCAAACTATAAAAATAAACTCAGAGCACTTTTTCCCTAACTCTAGTTAGAGTTCAATCAAACTTCTCATTTTCCAGTCCAGCAGACCAAAGGCCTGYACAGAAACAACATTCAAACTCAGCTCATGAAAAACAAAAACAAAAAGAAAAATCAATCAAAAAAACAGGAAATAAAAACTGTTAAAATGCCTAAAACCTAATTTAAAATCTAAAATAAAAATCAAGAGATTTTCTACAAAAAATAAAATAAAAGAGATGTGGTCATATTGACTCTGCAGTTAAAAATCTGTCAATGAAATGAAACACCAGGCTTTCTAAGAATAGAATCGAGTGGGAGCAGATGGAAAGAAAACAAAATTGGGACAAAGACTGAGCCTTGAGGGACTCCACAAAAAATAGGAGAAGAGGAAGACATTGACCCCTCAAGACTAACAGAATGTTCGGCTGGACAGGGTTCAGCTCGTACCTCTCCGTGGTAGATGACGATCTGGAAGAACGTGTCCATCAGAAGGATTCGGTCCGGCAGGATGCTGCTGCTGTCCAACAGAACCGGCTGAAACACATCAAAGAGATTAAACATGGAGTTCGCCCGGTTTGCTACGCGGAGATGACGGGAAGGGCGGCCCCACCTCGGGCGGTCCGTTGAAGGAGTAGGCGTAGAGGACGGGCTGGATCATGATGAGGGCCTGGGTCAGGTCCTGTCTGTTGAAGTGATGTCTGTAGTAGGAACTCTCATCGGGGCTGTTGTTGAACACCTGCAGGAACGGCGAGCGCCGCAGGTGGAACATGAACTGCAGACAGGAAGTAGCACGGTTAGGCTTACAGCGGCTCTACGTGGAGGGTTGCTCCGGGACGAGCGTCACCTGAGGGTAGAGGGAGAACGTCTCGGAGAACCTGAAGGAGTTCGGATCGTCTTTGTGGTAATCTCCGAACTTCTGACACTGAAAACCAACAGAACCAGGCGGTGAGGATCCTTTTTACCTCTGTTGACAAGAGTCTGATTAATTTCCTCACCAGTCGGATCAACTGTCTGTCCAGCCACCTGAGGACATCAGGACCCTCCTCCGTCTCCGCCCGGTACACCGCCAACCTCGCCATCAAGATGGCCGCCGCCTCCTGATCAAAGGACGCTGCGATGCTCTGAATCTGAGTCTGAGCATCGGCCCAACTGAAACAGAGAGGTGTGGTGAGGCTCACAGAACGTGTTTCTGCAGTAAACTCAGGTATGAAGGCTTCAGGTGTGCAGACGTACTTCCTGGCAGTTGTGGTGACCCGAATGCGTCTCTGTCCTGACGAGTGTTGGTACTGAGTGACGAACTGGATCGCCCCACGGCCGCCTTGAGGGATTGGAGCGTTGTGCTGCAGAAAAACAAACAGGCGGCTCAGTAACCACATCTGCTGGATTCTAGTCTTAGTCAGGTCCTGAGTGAACCCCGACCATGATGCTGCCTCCACCGTGCTTCACTGTAGTTTGCTCCAGATAAACATTAGAACCAAGACCAAACGGTTCAACATCGGTTTCATCAGAGCAGAGAAGCTCTGAGGAGAGACTCACATGGAGCCAAACTGACTAAGACCTGAACCAGACCTGAACCAACATCTGAACCAATATCTGAACCAATATCTGAACCAACATCTGAACCAACATCTGAACCAACATCTGAACCAACATCTGAACCAACATCTGAACCAAAGACCTGAACCAGACCTGAACCAATATCTGAACCAAAGACCTGAACCAATATCTGAACCAAAGACCTGAACCAATATCTGAACCAAAGACCTAAACCAACATCTGAACCAACATCTGAATCAAAGTCCTGAACCAAAGACCTGAACCAACATCGAACCCAAAGATCTGAACCAACATCTGAACTAAAGACCGGAACCAACGTCCCAACCAAAGACCTGAACCAAAGTCTCAACCAAAGACCTGAACAAAAGACTTAAACAAAAGTCCCAACATCCCAACCAAAGACCTGAACCAATGTCCCAACATCCCAACCAAAGACCTGAACCAATGTCCCAACATCCCAAATAAAGACCTGAACCAACATCCCAATGTCCCAACCAAAGTCCCAACCAAAGTCCTGAACCAAAGTCTCAACCAAAGACCTGAACCAATGTCCCAACATCCCAAATAAAGACCTGAACCATGTCCCAACATCCCAAATAAAGACCTGAACCAACGTTCCAACCAAAGACCTGAACCAACGTTCCAACCAAAGACCTGAACCAACGTTCCAACCAAAGACCTGAGCCAACGTTCCAACCAAAGACCTGAGCCAACGTTCCAATCAAAGACCTGAACCAATGTCCCAACCAAAGACCTGATTCAACGTCCCAACTATGACCTGAACCAAAGACCTGAACCAATGTCCCAACATCCCAAATAAAGACTTGAACCAATGTCCCAACCAAAGACCTGAACCAACGTTCCAACCAAAGACCTGAACCAATGTCCCAACCAAAGACCTGAACCAATGTTCCAACCAAAGACCTGAACCAATGTCCCAACCAAAGACCTGATTCAATGTCCCAACTATGACCTGAACCAATGTCCCAACATCCCAAATAAAGCCCTGAACCAACGTTCCAACCAAAGACCTGAACCAACGTTCCAACCAAAGACCTGAACCAATGTCCCAACCAAAGACCTGATTCAACGTCCCAACTATGACCTGAACCAAAGACCTGAACCATCGTCCCAACCAAAGACCTGAACCAATGTCCCAACATCCCAAATAAAGACCTGAGCCAACGTCCCAACTATGACCTGAACCAAAGACCTGAACTGGACTCTTATCAAAGACCTCTGGGGGGTCTTGAAAATGGCACCATCATCCAAACGATGAGAAGATTTCTAAGAAATGTGATTTTAAAAAGGGGACAGTTTAGTGGCTGATCTTATTTTGTGAGTTTTTACTGACTTTAGATAAACGTCAGATGTTTTATAATCAGGAGAAAATCCCCTCCATCTACTCAAAAAGACTCAATGCTGAACCTGCTTCTATTCTGAAACAAATATGATGTTTCAGTTTTTCTCTCTTAAAATTCATCTACCGCTTCTTCTAAAAACGTTTGAAACTGAGATAAATTCTGATGAGTCATTGTGATGCAGCAAAGAGAGATTTAATCTCAGCACACGAGGGCCCAGAACAAACCCAAGCTGAAAGCAACACGTTCAGGAACATGATAATTACACTCCTGCACACCTGTTATTACCTGAGTCAGGCCTCGTGACACGTGCACACACACCAACGTGCACCTCCCATCACAGACCTGATCCACAAACCTGGTCCAGGCTTTTATTTTGGTCCTGATGTTGTCATGTCTTTAGAAGCAGGTGATAAGCTTCAAACCTTTGTGTGTCCTCAGAGACAGACAGGATATTGTTCCATCAGGCACTGTTGACTTTACCCTCACCAGATAATTCAGTGTGTGTTCTCCTGGTCACCTCAGCAGGTGAAGGACAGGTGCACAGTGGTAACGCCCCCCACTGTCACCCGATGGACGGGCATTTATAACCTCCTGCTTTAACCTTTGATCGGAGTAGAGGAAAGACTAAACTGGACTGAGTTTCAACTGGAGGTGAAATCAAAAATAAAAATAAAAAGAAAATGGATTAAAACTAGTGAAGGAGCTGAAGCTGGTCTTTAAAGAACTTAAAGGACCAGGAATGGTGGAACCAGAGATGATCCAGAGCTGCCTCCCTGTCCTGACTCATCAAACCTTAAATAAACTCAGGAGRAGAGAAAGGTCCGAGCACCTGGACTGAAGGTTCTGGACCTTTAAACACCAGAGGATGAGTCCAACTCAGCTTCAGACGGTTTTTATTTTTTACAAACCAAGAACAAAACCTTAGCTCTTTATAATCTAACATAATCTAAAATAAACTCCAGATGAGCTGAGCTCCTTAAATTAATCTGACGTCTAATTTGAACACTTCCAAGGTAAGTTTTTAAAACCTTCCAACACAATTCTTAATTACACAGAAAAACTAAATATGTTTTCTGTTTTGGTCTTTTTCAAACAAAAGACTAAACAGCTGAAAGAGATTTTCTCAAACATTTAACACAGATTTTTTTTTTCATTTGATCACTTTAGGACAGAAAAGCTGCCGATATAAATTCATATATTCAGAGACTTGGGACTTGAATTGGACTTGACCCTGTTTACTTTGACATTTTACCCAAAATCTAAAGTTTAAAACATTATTTATAAAATGGCCTCATTAATTATTTTCACTCATTCTGTATTACCAAAGGCAGACCGTCTGTTTCCACACTCTTTACATGTGTGTGCGTGAGCCGCTGCACTGCAAATCAAATTAACCAGATTTAAAGTTAGTTAAAAGAAGACTATTCTTACAGCTAAGTTTATTTAAACTGTTTGACACAGAGGTGCAATTTTAAAAAGATTTTTTTATACGTTCAGCTGCACGTTTCATTACAATTTGAGATAAATATAAATTTAAAGAAGGAGCTCACGGTCTAGGTACTTACGTTTCACATAGAACTGCAACACTGCATTGTTAATTCTTATTAAAAAAATGAGAAAAAAATCTATTTTTTTACATTTAGGCTTTGAAAACGTAAAAACAAAACAAAATTTTATTTTGAAACAGAAAAAACAAAGAACGAACCATTAAGAATATTGGACCTCATGCAGGAACCGTTCGTACGAACAGATCTGTTCTTAAGTTGTGGGTACGTGTGATTTAGGAGAACTTATTCACCAATTTTTCAGACKGATTTTCTTCACTAATAACTTTATATTTCATTAGTTAGAAGATATTTTGAGCTGAAAATAAATCACACTCCATAATTATGTTGACAATAGGCTATTC